CAGTAGTGAGAAAATTATTGTCAGCTCGCTTTTACTTTATGACAAATTATCTTGGAAACAGGAATGAGGTGATGTCGACACGACGGAACAGCAAAAGCAACTAAGTCCCATTTGCTTGAACTAATACATGTGTTTGGGGCATATATCTTCATTCTCCCATTTACTACTTCTTAATTAGCTCCTAACTCAGAAGGTTAAGAACACCACAGGCAAGTGCCATTTTACGAAATGAATCGTTTAAAATATACTTTTTTTTCTGATAAGGGCACTCGATGTCAAAAATATTTAGTATTTTTTTTTACAGTTTTACTCCTTTTTGTTGACATGTTTGAAAATAGGTAAAAAAAAAAAAAAAAAAAAAAGGCCGAGTGAGAAACTTTCAGTACTTCTATTATTAAATGCACCTCATCTCTCTTTATGTGACTCCTGACCAGAAAAGAAATGGCCTAAGAATTTCCACCTGCCTGATACAACATTTGTAGCGTCTTATAGTACTTGGCTTTCATAAGTATATTACCCAAAGTAACTCATTTTCATGACCCCCCTCCCCTCAAGGAGCCCAAAACTAAGCCGAAAGGGAAATCACAAACCTTGCCAAAAATTTAGAAACATGCCTTCTCTCCCCCTCTATGGGCTGCTGGTGTGGCTTAACTAAAACTCCTCAGCCCGTGACCTTGAGAAACCTAGAGGCTATATAGGAGGACTAGAGTACGGAAGGTCATCCCGTCCACCGCTACCCCAAAAGGGGAGCGAAAATCCGTCATACCAGGTAAGTGTTTTTATAATTATGGCAGATGGTGATTGAAGCAGAGGCGATTCAAAAGGGGGAGACGCGAGAAAGCAATAATTTTGAATGTTTGACATTTGTTTTGAAAACTACCTTACTACCCTATACCCTTTACCATCTGTCTGTTATCCCTCCCAACACCCACCTCTGTCTTCCCACAGGGCTCCATTGTCTGCAGTTCCTGTTTCTCAGGGGCGGAGCTGTGGGAGGCAGCCATGGGTGCCATAATAGGCACCTGCGGCCAGCACAATGGGCTGTGGGTGCTTGTGGGAGAGACAGATTGATGTATTGTGCATGGGGGAGGAGGGCTGTCACTTGAATCCATGTGAACCCAGGCTTTAGGGGCAAGGGAGATTGACAGCTTTTGTAGGTTGCATTTCTTTTTCAAAGCTTGGCTTTAATAGACAGTAAGTTTGGGGCCCCAGGCTTTCACTCCCATAATTCTAACAGGGCAATCACGAGCATTCAGCATTTCTTTTTACCCCCCTTGTTACGCATTAAATGATTTCAGTAAAGGAATGTGCAGCATTAATTAGAATTTGTTAGCAGATACCAAGGGGAAAAGTTTCTTCACAACAACTATAGGAGGTGTCATTTGTACAAAGACTTTTTTGTTTTCTTTCCCCATTACATTATCACTGCAATATGTAAGGTAGTGATTCTTTTCATTTAAATTAAGTGGAAAGCTACTAAATCTTGTTTTATTCTCCAAAAAGAATAAGGTCCTTAACACTTATCTTTTAACTTCTTTCATTTCCTAAGGTTGGTGTTTACTTTTGCTTTCAGTCCGACCCATTTACTGATCTGTGTGGTTGTGTATCCAGTTTTGTGTACCATTTAGCTCTTACAATTACAAGCAGGCCACTACTGATATATAAGGATTGTTTCAGGTGAAAATAGCTACCAATAATACTGAAAATCTTTGACACACTGGGGCCCTTTTTGGTAATGGTACACTGAGAAATGCCAAAAATTAGACGCCTCTAGGTTGGTGTCCTAACTTATTTTCTGAAACTATTTCCCCCTGGTTGATATTAAACCTTGTCTATGACATCTAGTTTATGGAAGAATGGGGCAGCGGCCAAGGAATATTTTTTCCTTAGAATGAGTTTCCCATAGAAAACTCATTCCTAAACCATGTCAGTATTTTTAAACATCGGAAGTCCCCCTCTCCCCCAAACACACACAGATAACATCATTTCCTGACAGCTACTTAAAATAATCTTAGGGTTTTTTTTGTTTTGTTTCTATTTTCTATTCTGTTTTTTTTTTTTTAATTCCTGACATTTTAGACTTTTATGGGAACAAAATTAATCTCAGATAGGATATCTTAGAAACGCACTCTTTGCCACTGGAAGAAATGATAAACCATGAAAAATTTTTGGTGTGATTTTTCTGACACCTCTTCCGTATACAATCATTTTCTCTATGGAAGGAGCTGGAGGCTAATTGAATTAGAATTTTTCCCATTCATTGTTTTGTTTAAATGTGTTAAGGGCAATAGTGAAAAATATTACAAGTCTACCATTATTTCTCAGAAAGAACATATTCCCACACAGTTGTCTGGCTCTATTATAATAATTTGGTGCAATGGTTTTAAAAGTAGTGGGGTGATAATAATTAGGGTGTGCGACACAGAAATTTCAATGCTGGATTCAACATTTCACCATGCCGACTGGGGCTAGTCAGCTCTAAGTACTAATTAACTAATTAATCAGGTGCTGAGACGAACTGAATGGAGGACACCAGCCAGACAACTCAAGCCCAAGCATAAGGTTGTGCTCTTTCAAAGACAGCGCGGTCTTTCTTCTTGGTTTTTTAACCCAATCAAAAATGAGGGGAGAAAATAGGATATGGTGTCCTACTGTCAGTCGTGTCAATCCAGGCTTTTTTACTTAGAGAAAATAAAATAAAACCTGTGCCACTGATGATAACTGTGAGGCGCCATGTGCACAGCAACCCCCAAACCTCTGGCAAACTCACTGTCTCCTTGGCCATGAACTATTTTCAGGGCCGGTATATGTGGGTGTGTGTGAGAGGAGGGGGAATCTGCCTTCTCGGAGTTTTCTACGTTGTATTTTTTTTTTAACGTTGGAGAATGAGAAATGTAGTTCTCCTTTTGGGCTGATCTTAGGTCTTTGCCTCATCCCTCGTTTATGTAAATGAGAAGAGTCCAATTACACATATGGAAAAAGGGTTTAATGAATCGTGAAAAAGCCTGGTTTGCAGAGAAAGGGCACAATCCCCTCTTCTTCTTCTTCTTCCCTTTTATATTTAACTTAGAAACATGTATTTCTTTTAAGGAAGATGATAAAGCTTAATGATTAGATCATTTTATTTTATATACTCATTTTCATATTTGGGAATTATGAAACATATTTCGCTAGGAGATTTAGCCTCCTTTATCTCTGTAAGGTTTTATGGAGCCCTGGCAGATACTGTCTTCAACAGAAACTGTGAAATTCTAACTTTTTTCTTACATTAAAAAAATTATTGCATGCTAGTTTCTCCCATTTTTGATGTTATCCTTAGCTCAGTGATCATTTTTCTTCTGTTAACACAGTTTGCTCTGGAATTGTCTGCACTGAAAAAGAACTGCATCATTATAGGAGGGTTGTTACTGAACAGAGAAAAGACCGTGGTATCTTAGGTGTAGCTTAATTTTGGTATTATTATGATGTTTTACCTAGCTATATGGGTGTTGAATTAGGCAAGCTTTTTTTTTTTTTTTTTTTTTTTTTTTTTTTTTTTTTTTCCTTTCCTAAAAGGCAGAATTTTACACTAGAGCGTGTTTGGGATTTCATTTTTCTATTCCCACTCACCCCCCTCCCCCAAGTTCTTCATCTTGGAATTTTCAGTAGTTGAAAGGAGACCACAGAAAACCCCCAACCCATTTTTTTTTTTTTTAATGACCAAGAACCTTGCAAGAATACGGAGGGGAAAAAAAAATCATTACCATTTCTGACATGACTCTTAGAATCTGATAAGTGTGCACCTAGCCCAGAAGAGGTGCTTTGCAGCGCCAGCGGGAAAGTTCTAAATCACGGCTGTAGGTGCCTTCCAGAGACCTAATCCAACCACCTCATTTGGCACTTGGGGAAACTGAGGCCGAGGGAGTGTGGCAGGGGGGAGGGCGCGTTATGCTATATGGACTTTCCTCCGCAAAATACCGCGTCGACCCACGGAAAACACTTTTCTTGGGTACCTACGGTGTCGAGGGCATTGCAGGGATTCACACCGCCTGCCCTTTCACGGGGGCCATGCCCTTTCCACTACCCCCCCCCCCCCCCCCCCCCCCCCCCCCCCCCCCCC